ACATGTAATATAGAACACTAGTACTGGTCATATCTCCATCTCTAATCCACCCTTCCTCTCATGCAAGCTATAGCTGTATCTCATCTATTTTGAATTGCCTACTGAAATGTCCCCTTGAATATCTAATAGGCATTTCAAATTTAACATATTCAGAATAGTTTTTCCTCCATTGTTTACCACCTGCCAGTTGCTTAAGGCCAAAATCTATGAATCATTCTTGATTCTTCTCTCATCTTCCATATTCAATCCATCAGAAGTCCTATTGGCTTTATCTCCAAAATATATCTTAACAATGGAGCAAAATTTGAGTACCACAGACCCAGATTAAGGATAACTGTAGGAATGAAGGAGTGATACACCTAGGAATAGGACAGTGGTCTGAAGCCAGATGATAAAGGTCCTTTAGTGCCAAACTAAGGAGTTCAGAAATTATTGTTAGAGGAGAGCTACTGAGGTTTTTGAGTAGGGCACTTATATATTCAGGAATGAATCAGTAGAGGGGATAAATGAGGGTACCCTCAAAATCACAAGCAATGAAGTATTAGAACTGAATTTTTAGGGACAGCAATATCAGCCTACTGATTCTGTAAGAGAAGATTGAATGTTGGGAGAGGCAAAAAATAAGGCCATCGGAAAAGGTAGGGTAGGGACAGAGTATACAGGGCTTGAAAGCCAGGCAAAAGCATATAAACTGGGATCCCTTGGCTCTAATACATGTTTCCCTATTTGGAGAAAGTCTCCTTATCTTTTCTGTTTCCTTTTCCTGGAGTTTGCTTCAGCTATAAATGTTGTAATTTTCTATAATGTTCTGACCTGCTACAAACCTTGGCTGCACATCAGAATCACCTAGGGAGCTTTAAAAACTATTGATGGATAGATTCTCACCACCAAGGATTCAGAGTTATCTTGTCTTAGATGCAGCCTGGACACAGATTTATTTAAAAGTTCCCCATGTGATTCTAATGTGCACCCAAGGTTGAGATCAATTCATGTAGAAAACAATGAAGCACTAAGATTCTTAAGCATGGTAATAATATGTTTTAAAAAGTGGGGGTTTTTTTGTTCTTTTTTTTGTTTTTTGTTTTGTTTTGTTTTGTTTTTTGAGACGGAGTTTCGCTCTTGTTACCCAGGCTGGAGTGCAATGGCGCGATCTCGGCTCACCGCAACCTCCGCCTCCTGGGTTCAGGCAATTCTCCTGCCTCAGCCTCCTG